GGCTTACTTTTGCCACTGTCCCTACTTTTGAAAATCTGTAGATCAACCTGGGCCATGATGCTTGCTGGTGCGTTCTGATTCAAGACCGTTTGCATGAGCGTGTCCGAGAGCTTCTCATTGTGCTGCTTCTCATACGTCTGGAACCTACTCTCCAAAATCTGCAGCTGCTCTGCGAACTTAGTCGGTCCGCCGTCAAACTTCGGGTTGAAAATGCCCTTCAACTGCGTGACCTGAGCTGCTCCCGTCGCAGGCTCCTCTAAGCGAACAAGCTGTCGCCAAGGCATCAGACCGTGATACCCGGGAATATTCATCACCAACTGAAGAGAACTACCTTGTAGCACTTGGGATATAATGAAAAGCCAACGTCTTGCTGTGTCCACGTCGAACCTCATTTAGCTCGTGGGCTAAAATCGGGTTGATCTGACGCTCGGCCTGCTGCAAACTCTCCGACATATCTCCATCCAAAGCGCCCTCATACGCCTTAAATACACACTTCCCTTGAAACCAGTTTGTTCGATGTTCAGAATACGCCTTCGGCTTTCCCAGCAATTTGGTGTCCACAGGCGGCAAAGGACCTCCTTGATCACCCATATGTTTGAAATCATCCACAAACTCGTGCACAAACGTTTCCTTGAAATTGAACTTCGTCCAACTATCGCGGCGCGCCAGGAACCCGTGGATCACGCCACGGGCTCCGCTACCATGGGCGAATGAGGCCCCTGGTGAGGACCCCCTTTTCCTGTCAACACCTGGGCCAACATGGCCAGCAGCCACTTCAGCTCCATCTCTCTGCTAGCTTGCAAAGGGCTCCACTAGTCCCCCAAACGGGGGCCTCCTAGGCGGGCAACTTTAAACCACCAAGTCTTTCACCGCACCTTTAGCACAGTACACATTCACACCTGACTGGGGCCTCGAGCGGGACCCCGAGAGATCTCATTTGGGCATACATACACGCAAGCAGGTCTAAATTATTGCTTGACCTGTTGGTTTTCTGAACGATTCTGGCTTCTTGGGGTGGCTCACGGATCACCCGAGACGGCCCAAGAGGCGCCCGAGAGGGCTCCAGGACAGGCCCAGGGACCACAGCAAGTCATGTCGGACGTGTGGCATCCCAACCACGCTCTCAAGGCCTCTAGAAAGTCACGCGGCGGTTCCCACGAGCGCCCGAGAGCCCCCGTGATCCCGGGCCCTGGGCCTCTGGAGGAGCACCTGCAGGCAACAGAGAGCTCGATGGGGGCCGAGGAGGAGGAGGAGGAGGAGGAGGAGG